ATAATCGGTATGGTAAATTTTTTTTTTTCAAATTTTTTTTTTCAAAATTTTTTTTTGACAATGAGAACAAATTTAGACTCAATAATAGAAAAAAATATCATTTTAATGGACAAATTCCATAAAAAATGAAGTCAAATGGACACCAAATTTTCAACATTTTCATGGAAAATTATACAAATCAAACACAATTAATTACAATTCCTAGTAAAATATTTTCTAAGAAAATCAATTCCTTGTAAAACATTTTCTTTCCACCTATTTTCCACCTTTACAATCAAACGGACCCTTAATGTTAAATTATAATGAATAGTAATTATGAATATGTCAAAAATATTTTCCACTCGTTCCTACTAAACAATTTTTTTTTTTTTGTATTTAAGTGTAATGCTATTTTATTGAATAACGTGTGATTGAAAATAAGAGAAAAAAATGTATTTTCAAAATAGTGAGAACCAAATAAGAGCTAAAAATGTAAGAAAAGGGCAAAATCATAATATAAGAGGGATGCGCGGTAAACTGTCCCATTTATCAATCAAGCTACATGTATATAAATATTTTTCTTTACGTTAAGTTTGAAACTCTTCCACAAGACGTCCGTTAAAGTCATTTATTTTTACAACAATTTATCACGTCACCGTTGGATTTTTCACATCAACTAGGATGTAACCTAGAATGTATATATAGCTTAATTCCCCATTCATTTTACTATTTTCTTGTATTTTTCTACAAAAGTAAAAATATACACTGTTACTTCTCCACCAGAATTTCCCAGCGATATTGTGGTGCGGTCTTTCTCTCCTCGACTCCCAATTTTCCTTCTCTTTGTACGTTACACTAAGGGCTTGTTTGATTGGCCAATCTTTTCCATGGAAAATGGAATCCAAATTCCATTTCCCACTTTTTGTTTGTTTGATGCTTTTTTTTTTTTTTGCATGAAATTCTTTTTTTTGCTTTTGTCTCACATGTGCCACATTTCTTGTTTTTCCAAGTTACTATTTTTTGGCAATTGAAAATTTTTTTAGACACAATGATAACAAAATTTATCACTTTTATTGATAATTTTCATGCAAAATAAAGACAAACGAATGATATTGAGTATGATAATTTTTTAAAATTTTTTTTACAATCGGAACAAATTATAGACCAATGGTAAAAAAAAACAAAAACTTTAATGGATAATTTTCATGAAAAAGAAGCCAAATGGACACTAAACTATCAATATTTTCCAAGTGAAAAATTATACCAATCATAAATAATTAATTACAATTTTCAGTAAAACAAATACTAATCAATTCAATTTACTGTAATTCATTTTATTTCCACCCAAATTCCCCATTTACCATTAAACATACCTAAAAGCAAAATCAACTACCGTACAAATCCATTACCCGCAACTTGCAAAAAATTACTACAGTGCCATCTTCCCATAATCATAAAAAAAAAAAGAAAAAATCCCACAAAAGTTCAAAACTTTGGTGTTTCAAATAGTTATACATACATACATATATCTGCTTCTCTCTATTCCCTTTCTTTCTTACAAGCATTCCCTCGAGGCGCAGAGAGAGGAGGTGCGTTTTGCACGAAGAGAATTAGCCAATGAGCCGAGCTGCTTTACTTGTTTCAGATCTGTACTAAGAATAACCAGGTACTTTGAACCAAGCTGGCCCAGCTGATATTTTGGTGCTCTTTCTATGTGTAATGTGAATTTTCAGGTTTAATTTGGATAATATTTCTTTTTTTATTTCATTGGATCTAGTTCTTGATTTATGTTCCGGGGCTGTTTATTTATTGGTGGATTTTGGAATGGGGATTCGTTACAGATCTGGGGATTGGAGTGTGTTTGTTTATCTGTGGTATGCAGCAATCTTAGAACATAAAACGTTGCTTGTGGGTTTTTCTTTTAAACAGTAAGATTATAATTTAGATGCAACCGGGATCTCTTTTATTCAGCATTTCTTGTTTATTCTTCGAATGATGATCTGATTCTGATTTGCACTCTTTGTGGCATTAAACTTTGAAGCGATTAATGCTGATCTCTGATACTGTTTATTACTGTCTCGAGATCATAATTGTTCTCGAGTAATTAATGATTTGGTCTTTGAAACATTAATAAAGTGAAAATTGCTATAGAAAGATTATGGTGAAAATGGATTGGAAGAGATTTAACCCCTTAGTGTACCATTTCAGGTGTAATAAAGAAAGTCTTGACTGATTCAAATTTACGTGTAGAAGGATGGCTTTAGGAAAATACTCTAGAGTTGATGGCAAAAAATCATCGTCTTATTGTTCAACAGTTACGATAGTGGTTTTCGTAGCCCTTTGCTTAGTCGGGGTATGGATGATGACATCATCTTCTGTGGTCCCCATTAATTCAGATCTCGCTTCTGAGGAAAACAAGAGTGAGGTGAAGGCACAGCCGACTGAGAGCAATAGTGAAAATAACAAAGAAGCTGGCAACAGTGGGAATAGTAACAATGCGGTTGACGAAAATAGTCCTAGCGAGGAGGGCAAGTCAAAGCAATTTGAGGATAACCGAGGTGATCTACCTGAGGGTGCGACCAAAGCAGACACTAGTTTGAGTTCAAATCAGGAGGATAAGAACAATAAACCCGAAGATACAAAGCCAGAAGAGTTTGAGAAAACCACTGAGGAAAGGCAGGAAGAGAAACCTGAAGATAAGTCAGAGGATGAAAAGAAAGATAACGGAGAAGACAAAAAAGAAGATGGGGAAGAAACAAAACAAGAAGGATCTAAGAGTGAGTCGGAGAATGAAGTGGAAAAGAAGGGAGATGGTAAAGATTCTGAAGCTGGAGACAAGGAAAACAAGTCTGATGACAATGAGAAGAAATCGGAAGAAGGTTCGGGTGATACAAAAGATGGTCAAATAGAGAAGGTTGAGGAAAAGAAAGATCAGGATTCACAAGAAGATTCTGGTGAGAAGAAGGATCAGTCTTCCGGTGAGGTGTATCCTTCTGGGGCTCAAGCAGAGCTTCTGAATGAAACACAGACCCAAACTGGAGCATTTTCAACTCAGGCAGCCGAGTCAAAGAATGAGAAAGATGTCCAAAAGTCTACAGGGACCCAAAATGGGTACATTTGGAAACTTTGCAATACCACTGCTGGGAGAGATTATATTCCGTGCCTTGACAATTTGGAAGAAATCAAGAACCTTCGATCAACTAAGCATTATGAACATAGGGAGAGGCACTGTCCTGACAATCCTCCCACCTGCCTCGTTCCACTTCCTGAAGGATACCAACGCCCTGTCGAATGGCCTACAAGCCGGGAAAAGGTGCAGTACTTTAGACCTTATTTTGTGTAGCTACATTTTTATAGTTTTCTTCTTTCTCACATTATTTCTAATATTTCTTTCCTACAGATATGGTACCACAATGTTCCCCATACCAAGCTCGCGGAAATTAAAGGACACCAAAATTGGGTTAAAGTTAGTGGTGAATACCTTACCTTCCCTGGAGGTGGCACCCAGTTTAAGCATGGTGCTCTTCATTACATCGATTTCATACAAGAAGTAAGACTTTGAAGTCATCTTCTTTCTTTGGACAATCACTAGTGCTTTATAGGATCGTTCAAGTTTATTTGTTTCTCACTCATGTTAATTGGCTGTTGTGCAGTCTGTGCCTGATATTGCCTGGGGAAAACACTCACGTGTGGTACTGGATGTTGGATGTGGTGTTGCTAGCTTTGGTGGCTTTCTTTTTGAAAGAAACACACTTACCATGTCATTGGCTCCCAAAGATGAACACGAAGCTCAGGTTCAATTTGCTCTGGAAAGAGGAATTCCTGCTATATCGGCCGTTATGGGTACTAAGAGACTTCCGTACCCAGGAAGAGTTTTTGACGTAGTCCACTGTGCACGCTGTAGGGTACCCTGGCACATTGAAGGTTTGTTGCAGCCAACTAATTTGTTTGAGAAGGATTGGTATACAATTGCTAAATTATATGACCTGGAAAAGCTTCAGAAAAGCATTCTTCTGGAAATGAAAATTTCTTCTCAAAATTTGCTATTAACGCATAATTTATTTGTCGCTCAAACATGGTCCATCTTTCTTTGAGTTTGTTACCATTGTAAATCTGCTTGACACTATCAGCATATTACAATATGCAGGTGGTAAGCTCCTCTTGGAGCTGAATCGTTTGCTTCGACCTGGTGGTTTATTTGTGTGGTCCGCTACTCCTGTCTACCGGAAGGGTGATGAAGATGTTGAGATTTGGGAAGGTATACCCTAAAATCATGTTTTCATTGATTCGTACAAGGTTTGTAGAAGCTAAATTGTGTCGTGGGAATGGTTGGCAGCCATGAAGAAACTAACCAAGGCAATGTGCTGGGACGTCATTTCAATTACCAAGGATACAATTAATGAAGTAGGTATAGCTACATATCGCAAGCCAACTTCAAATGAGTGCTATGTGCAAAGGTCACAAAATGATCCTCCAATCTGCGAAGACTCAGATGATCCCAATGCTGCTTGGTATGTTTTTCTGTAGGAGAGATAGGACACCCCAATTGACTTCTTTTGGGAATATTTGATTGTGAACACTGCTGCTGAACACAGTTAGTTCTGGCTGACAAGAATGCAAAATATTTTTTCTTGCTAAATTAGAATTGGATTTCGTCTTTTCAGTTATTTTATCTTACGTGTTCAGGAATGTACCTTTGCAAGCATGCATGCATAAAGTGCCTACTGATTCTTCAGAACGCGGCTCTCAATGGCCAGAACAATGGCCCGCCAGGTTGGAAAAATCACCTTATTGGTTGCTGAGCTCCCAGGTTGGAGTTTATGGTAAACCTGCTCCAGAGGATTTTGCTGCGGATTATGAACATTGGAAGAATGTGGTGAACAAGTCATATCTGAATGGACTGGGAATAAAATGGTCCACTGTGAGAAATGTCATGGACATGCGAGCTGTCTATGGAGGGTAAGGAAAAAAAGAAATACCATCTAGCTTTAGCTATTTTCTTGAGTGCTCAGTTATAGTTCTACTCCCTTTTTCGTGCAGCTGTATATGCAACAAACTAAATTTTCTTTAGAATGACTATCGCATATAATTTTGCTTCAGTCCGATAACTGATGGGTTTTACCTTTATAGCAAGTTTAGTAAAGGTGGATTAGATAGTAATTGACAATATTAAGGATAAGAAACTAAAATCTTGTCTATTGTACTCTCTGATATGGTCTAATATTGCATATGAAACAAGCATTTTTTTTTTTGTTGGGTAGCATAATTTAGGTTTATGGCTAATTGCGTTGTCTATTTTCATTTCTGGTGTATTTTTTGTACTTGAGCCAATTGATTGTGAACTTGTTCAGTTTTTCCTTTTTTACCCTTTTGACCCTGCATTTTTCATTGCTGAGTATTTGTTATGTCAGCTTGTAATCAGAATTTTTATTATTCTCTTGTTTGAAAACATAAACCCTGCATATTTTTCGCCCTTTTATCATCAAAGCAGCTTTCAATCATTATTTGGCTTATGTTACCTTTTGGCTTTCTTTGCAGATTGGCTGCTGCTCTGAAAGAACTGAATGTGTGGGTTATGAATGTTATCTCCATAGATGCTCCGGATACACTACCTATTATTTATGAACGAGGTCTATTCGGAATTTATCACGACTGGTGTGAATCCTTCAGTACATACCCAAGATCTTATGATCTTCTACATGCGGATCATCTCTTCTCAAAAATTAAGAAGAAGTGCGTATATATTCCAGTGATTTGATGTGGGGTTTAATACACTGGTGACTAAACTTCTAGTAAAAATTCACGTTGGTTATTAAACTCGAACTTTGTCACAATTTGGTCACTCTCCTTTAGTCTGATTAACAGAAAGGAAGATGTGGCAGTCTCGTTAATTGGACGTCAACTAGACTGCTATGTCAGTTTTTTGTTAATCAAACTAACAGACATGTACGAATAACCAAATTGGAACAATCAACGTGAAATTTCAGTGACCGCCAGTGTCTTTAACCCATATGACTAATGTCTCTAAACTTTATTCTAAAATTCTGTATTTCGGGTTCAATAGGTGTAATTTCATGGCTCTTGTTGCGGAGGTTGATCGAATTTTGAGACCCGAAGGAAAGCTCATTGTCCGGGACAATGTTGAGACCATTAATGAACTTGAGAGCATTTTCAAGTCTATGAAGTGGGAGATTCGCTCGACTTACTCTAGGGATAAAGAAGGATTGTTGTTTGTCCAGAAATCCATGTGGCGCCCTAATGAAGCTGAGACAGTTGTATATGCTATTGCTTAAGGTATCACAGAACATACAGTTTGATTCCTGAGGCCTTCCTACCACGGAGATTAGGTTTTTTTTTTTTTTGTATTAATGCTAATTTAACAGCATGGTAATTGTATTCCTCTTCGGGCTATCATGCGTTGTGTCTTAGCCAATTAGTGCTTTTAGCTTTGATTCTTGGTCAGAGACTCGGCCTGAGGTTCTTTTGTTGTAGTGTTATGTCATTACATGTTGGTAAAAAGTGACACCTTTCTGAAAGTTTAAAGTCCATTTGTTCAAAACATTGTTTGTGGAAATGCGCATTGTTCTGCAGAGTTGGTTATGGATATCACTCCTCTTGCCTTCATTTTCTAGATTTGGTCATTGTTACTAAGCAATTTATCACTTGTCTTCATCAAAATGGCAGAGGATTCTTTTTCAAGCTGGTGCAAATGAGGAAATCAGACTTAAATGCCATGATACTATATGTCCCTTTTCGTGAATTGCGTTTTTTGTGCTTGACATCAGATGTTAACGCTGATGATCTGAATGTACCTTGTATGTATGATGAATGATGCGCAGTTTGCACTTAATTGACACAGCTTGCTCAGGCTGGACGGGAAAAATCAGATCATGTTCGACTGGTACAACTAGCTGTACTGGCAAGGCATGACACAAAGCCCACCGGGTTTAAGCATTTTTGTAATTATTTTGTTGTATTTTTCAAAAATAAAACTATATTTGTTGTGACAGAGATGATTCTGTCACAAAAGGTTTAAGCTCTCTCTTAAACTGAATCGGATTGAACCGTTCAAACTAGCCATTTATGATCTGCTTGAAATTTACAGGGTGCAAAATTGAGAGGTTGATTAGTCTCGAGCCAAATGATAAGAAATTAGGGATCAAAGTGTTACACAATGCAAAGGTTGAGGACTTAATTTGTAATTCTCTTTATTAAAATGTACCATCTTGAGTTCGGAAGATTTTCTAACTAATTTTTACACACCAACTTTTCGAGTTTTTTTATTTTAAAAAAAGGTTATGTTTTAATGGTTGTCAAATAGGGTTAGATTTTTTTTGATTAATATTAAATAGTTTTTAAATTTAAATATTGAATTAAATAAAAACAAATTAAAATTTTTTATACAACGTTTGTAGCCTTTTACATTTCCTATTTTTTTATTTTCAAGAAGAGTAGTTCTAAGTGTACAGAATTGTGATTGATAGAGGACTTATCAACTCTCACATGAGGTGGTTCCCATGTGAGACCGACCTCATTAAAAAATGAACAAAAAAATCCCCCCTCCCTCCTCCTTCGTGTCTGATCGGTGGAAGTTCAGTAACCCCCCATCTCTGTACACACAGCAGAGCCCAAGAAAGAAATAATGTTTTCACATGTCATGCGACGTATGATGTTATGTCACGTTTCATTTCCATTTACTATTTTAGCCCATGTTTGATATACATTAAAATTTTCATTTTCATTCTTCTAATTATTTTCAACTACATATTTTTCAATAAAATAATATTTTCTATCACGTCAACTTTTCCTTCTTATTCAACAACACATTCTCTACCAATCTACTATTTCAAAATATATTCTTTCAAAATAATGTGGCTCAAACACATGGTGCCGTCTCGCCACCGAGAATATTGCTTTGAACTATCACATCACATCTAAAATTATTAATTAACCAATAATTTTAAAAGGATAAATTCCATTTGCATAAAACATACTTCACCCCAGTGATAATCATGGTATTTCAATTTTATTAACTAATAGATAATTGTGATTACCATTATTTATTGACTTATCAAATTTCTATAATGAAATTGGATGACCCGTCTTAATTGAAATCAAATATAGATGTAGTTTCTTGATTAAAATTAAACTAATGTGTTGCTACCCAATTGACTAATTAAACATTTTTTGGTCAAATAACTTTTTATCTACACATTTTGTGGAAGTAGTACTCACTCACATATCACTCATTTCTATCTATTTACCATTTAAATTTTAAAACCTATTATAGACCATTCTCAAACACGCTTTTAAGTATAGTTACATTTTTGAACTAAATTACATTTATCTAACTGACACTACAGTATATACCGCGATGCAATTTATCTGATTTTAATTCACACAAATACCACTAATACAAAGGTTTTTCTTTTTTTCTTTTTTTAAATTATTGTAGATACCTTTATGTCATATTTGTCGCAAGCTGAGATTTTGATGAATTTTAAAAATTATTCTAAATTCAAGTGTCCCAATTAAGATTTGAATGAAATATATTAAGATCCAATTGAATTTAGGTGTTCCTAACCGATAATTTTAATAAATTTCAATGAAATCCTTTAAAATTTAGGTGTACTCAATAGCTCATGAATTTATAAGGATTTCATTAATAACAGAATTTCAAAAGATTTGGATAGATTTCAAGTTCAAAAAAAAGTAAAATACACGTAACGAATTTTTTGAAATTTTACCATTTTTAATGAGATTCTCATGGATTTTGTAAAAACTTATTCAAATTCATGAAATTCATTAGGATTTATAATATTTTAAAATGCATAAAAATCTCAAGACACATCAATATATTTTTACCCAATTTGGTTTTGAAGGTGCCTGAAAGTAAAATATAGGGAAAAATTCATATCTAAAGTGTATTCTTTACCTCAATTCAAAAGTAAGGTAAATAGTTTGCAAATTCAAAAATCAGGTATGGATTTAATTAATTAAAGATATTTATTAAATAAAGATAATAAAGTCACATTTTGTGATTAATGGTCACATATTCATAATTTTAAGTTACAGATTTATTTACTGGTCACATATCGTCAAATTTTTTGATCCCAAATTATTTTGAGGTCACATATCAAAAAATTTGTACGTCACAAATTATTTCAAGGTCACATATTTTTAAATTAGTTGGTCACAGATTAGTTCGAGGTTACAAATTTTTAAATTAGTTGGTTATAGATTATTTTTGAGTCACGTATTATTAAAATTTTAGGTCACAATTGAGTAATTGGTCACATGGTCACAGTCACAGACAAAAAATTTAATGGTCACGGATTCTTCCAGAGTCACATATAACCAAATAATTGCTCACAAATTAACCAAATAATTGTCACGGTCACGGCCAACACCAACCACTATCACCACCACCACACAGAAAACCTTCCAAACCCACCCCAACTATCAGATCCACCACCACTACCACTACGACCACCCTCACCTCGCCACCGCCGCCTCCACAACGTACCACCACACCCACAGACACCACCAATAACAAATAAAAAGCATCCCTGCTATAGCCCCTTAAAACCACCACATCTGCTACACCACCACCACACTAACAAAGAAGAAACCACCCTGCTACAGCCCCCTCAAAACCACCACACCACCGTCACACAACGAAACCCACAACAGACATCGCTCCAACAACCACACCTATCAATCAACCCACAACAGACGCCGCCTGTAGATAGCATCGACGATACCAACAAATACACAGAGGCGCCACGCTAGTTCCTCGAAGGGAGGCACCGACAAAGGCGCGATGCCTCTTTGGTGCCTCATAGCGAGGAGCTGGCAGAAGCACCGGCAGAGGCACAATTGCTAGAATAGAGAGAGAGGAGAGGAGAAGAGGGGACGCGAGAGAGAGGGGAGAAGAAAAGAGAGAAGGGGCGGGTTTATACTGTAGAGAGAAGATGGAGAAGAAAAATGATGTAGGGTTTGTATTATATTATACCTGATTTGTGAATAGTGAAATTTTGTCCCTGAATTTTGAATTATAATCTTTAAACCCCGGCTATTATGTAATTTCCTCTAAAATATATTGGATTGTTTTTCTACTAATGGACTAGCATTTACATTTTGATTGTTGGGCCCATAATAGGATGGGCCATTTTTTTAATTAACACATATGGAGGCCTCTTACTCTCATCCCAATTAATATAGAATTGGCCCATTGAATTTTATAGAAGATAGAAAACCCTTTGCCTCTTTTTGAGGAGTAGAGAGGATCGATGCTTAGGGTTGAATGGGGTAGAGTGTAATTTCTCTTCATACAAGATTTCTTCTTCTTTTGCAGCCTAGACAAGAATATGGAAGTTCAACCACAAGCTATTGGAGGTATGATTTACTTTGGTATTGATGGACGAATGCTATATAAGTTGAGACGGGATTATTGGCAACATTTAATTCTAGCACCCGGATTATTATAATCACGTGTAATATAACGATACAAGAAAACTTCTGTAATTAAATCCCATGAGAAAGACCGTTTTATGGTGGATTAATTGATTATATAAAATGGAGAAGCTACACAATATATATCATGTACCGAACACACCTTAAATGTACGACGGAAAATGTTGATCTTTAGGTAGGAACATTTATATACATATACCATATACAAATATATATTATTAATATATTATTATACAGCCAATAGTTAACATTTTAAGACTAGATAGTTTGTTATATACAAGGATCGGGAGTTTATTGACTGCTAAGAATAGGGAGCGAGTCCGGGGGTCTAATTGTTAGAAATAATCCAAGCCTTCAGCCCTCCTATTTGTATGCCTATTCTGATGCTTCTCATGCCATTTATCTTATTATCCCATATATAATTAATCCCAATTTATTAAAAATTTAAAAAAATTGTACCATTCTCTCAACATGAAGAGAGAGGGAGACAATATCGAATATGAGAGGTCTGCATTTGGTCCAAATGGGACGATGAGAATAAGCCCAGAAAGTACATGTTCAATGAACACCAACATTGCCACATCTTCCTCCAACATCAACCCTAATAACATCGGTGCTAGTGCCGGTGCTTATGGCACCTTGACTGGAAATGACACCGGTGCTAATAACAACAACAATAACAATAAGGAACATGATCGGTTCCTCCCTATAGCCAATGTAGGCCGGATCATGAAAAAGGTCATTCCAGGAAATGGCAAGATCTCCAAGGACGCTAAGGAGACTGTCCAAGAATGTGTGTCCGAGTTCATTAGCTTCGTTACTGGCGAAGCGTCCGACAAATGCCAAAGTGAAAAGAGGAAGACGATCAACGGGGACGACATTCTTTGGGCCATTATGACTCTTGGTTTTGAGGATTATGTCAATCCACTCAAGCTTTATCTTAACAAGTATCGAGAAATAGAAGGGGAGAAACTAAATATGCCAAAACAACAGCGTATGGAACAACGCTTGCAGCAGCATGAACAACAACAAAAGCCAAACGTCCCATATAATACTAGTAGTGTATATTCCTCAACAAATCTCATTTGTCAGCCACCATTTGGGTCTACTGATCCACCATTTCCTTTGCCTTTTTCTCAAAATTCAATTCAGAATTCCCCACTCCCTCAACAAGAGCACATTGACTCTGTGGGACATTGGTAATTATAGATAGAAAATAAACGAAAAATGTTTTTTTAAAGTTATTTGATAATATTGTAATGTATAGTAGTATAAATTTTCATGAATATGTTACCATGTAGTATATTATTATTATTATTATAATTATTATAATTATTTATTTTTTAAAATTGAATTGCTCTTTTAAATAACAGTGTTTATTTTGTTGGGGAGTAGTGTATAGGTTGTTTTGTAGGCAAATATAGTATTGGCACAAGTTTAACAACGCAGGAACGATGTTAAACAACAAAGAAAATGAAAGAAACAAAGATTGAAGAAAAGAATGGAAACAAAAGTCCAAGGAAAGTGTTTTACACTCTGTCTTCAAGATGAATTTGCCATGCAACGGAGCTAACGGAGGTATGACGATAGTCTCTCAAGATACAACGGAGAATTCTTTGTAGTAGAAGCACTTCAAACTACAAGGTTAACGCGAACCGATAAGAATTTTCTCCCTACACATAGACTGATTTTGTATGCAAGTTTTGAAGATATTTTGCAAGAGTTTTTGATGTAAGAATCTAGTAAAATTATATGGGATGACTTAATGGCATCTAAGGGGTCTATTTGTTGAAAGTGAGGGGGTGTGGCCGGAAAGACATGCTGCAAAACTCAGCATCTTTCATCAAGGGTCCCAACCCTCCAGGCCGCTCGCTTGCTGCCCACGAACCGTTTGACCGTCAAAAGCTGAAATCCTGGCGCTGGGCTGCTGCTCGAGCGGCAATCTTAAGTGCTGAAATTCGATTTTTCATTCCAATTTTGAACCACCATTTTTTATTCATTCGGAATTGATTTTGAGATTCCTAATGCACTACGATCATCTATTCGAATAGTAGAACAAGTTAGTCTATTTATTTTCATAATTTGACTGTCGGATCAAGTTCTAAGATTTGGTTGAAGTTGACATAAAGTCATTTTTTCATGGTTTTATGCTAACCAATTTTCATCTCATTTTAACCAAGTTTCAACATATTTTACTATGTTTTTTTGGATATCTAGCATGCAAACACATAAATTAGTAAGTCAAGCATTATATTCCTACCCTACCAAGACAGAATACTGGCTTCTTGGTCACGACCAATGACAATTGAAGTTCCATTAAAGAATGTTTTAATGGATAGAATCTCCATATGAATATATTTTACTACGAGAAATCTATGTTCGATCTCAGACATTAATATTACTTCTCTAGCATTTTACTAACCTTTCCCCTTCATATTTTTGAAAAAGCTAGGACACGATAACTTGATTTGTGACACTCTGGTCAACAATCTTGCTACCACTCATTTTGAAGATCGCAAAGGACAATGGGCTCATCCATAAAGCTCCACAAGCGTTCCTCTAGTAAACAAACAAGCCAGCTAGCCTAACCTGATTATGTGGTCTTCGTTCGTTCACTAGGTTAGTGGTTTGGCTGGAAATCAAGCAAACAACTTCGATTTTTCAACAGTTTTCGGATAGTTTTTCTAATCTGCTTTTTGCTTCAATTTTGCTAGTTTTTTTGGTCGGTTTTTTAGCCAAATTCACTGTCTTGAAGCTTTGATACCAATTATTATGAAAGCTCACTCCAAAATCTTCAAATCAGTTATTTCTGGACTCAGTTTTACGTGACCTTTCTCTACCAAACAACCAATCAAAATGATTTTGACCCACAACTAGTTAATCGCTTATGGTTGCTTCTTAATCTCATCCACAAAGGACAGGATATTGGTGTTGATTTGCAAGCCACAAAGGCGAGAAGAAAACAAGGAATAAGGCACAAGAAGGAGACTAAAATCAAGAAGGCAACCACAGATTTTTGAACACAAAGCAACCGGCTATTTTCTCTCCAAAGGCAGCCACATTTTCTCTTCTTTTAGACACAAACCACATACAAAAACGGGTAAGAAAGGTATATAGATAGATAGATAGATATAGGTTAGGCTTGAGTTGGGCCAATAAAAGGATTAAATGGGCCAAGACTAAAGAGCCATCAAATAAGCATTAGTTTGGGCCTTGAGAAACATTAATAGGGAAATTACAAAAAATCAAGCGTTTAAGTTTCTAAATTCACAAATCAAGTGTAAAGTTTATTTAATCAAAAATCAGGTTTTAATTAAATTAATAATTAAAACCCTAATTAAAACCTAATTTCCAATCCCCTCTCTCATTCATCTCCACAGAACTGTCTCTTCCCACCCTCTCTCTCTTGTCTCTCCCTCTTCGCTCTCGTCTCTCTCTCTCTCTCTGTTGTCCTTCCTCGCATCATCGTCGGAGAACACAACGGAGATGTCGCTGTGAGTAGCGGCGACACTCCCCTACGATCGTCGGCAGACGCTGTTGTGAACGGCAGCGTTGCGATGCTGTAGTCCGTCGACGCTACCTTTTGCAGCAGCATCGCACTAATTGATGCCGTAACTCATCACGATGCGGCGACGGTGACTTTGCGGATGGCCTACTGATACCATTCTTCTTCATCTTTTTTTTGGTGGTTGGGCATGGTTGTGGTGTTGGTGGTGTTGTTGTGGTGGTGGTGTTTGGGAGTTTTAGGTACTTTTGTTGGTTGTGCGTGTAGATGTATTGGTGGCTATGGCGGATCAGTGGCGATTTTGGTGAGGTTGTGGAGTGGTGCATTGTTGGGCGTGTTTGTGGGGGAGGGAGGGGAGGTTTGGCTGTGGTTGTGNTGTGGTTGTAGTCCTAGTGGCTGTGGTGGTTTCTGGCGATGGTCGTGTAGGCGTTGGAGACGTTGGTTATGTTGGTGAGTTTGTGGGTTGGGTATTGTTTGTTTTGTAGGTGGAGGTGTCGACTGTGCGGTCGACGATGGTGGTGGTGGCGCGGTGGATTTAGGTAGGATACAAGTGGTAGTGGTGAGTCTGGTGACGGACTTGTGTGATATGGTTGTAGTGGTCATGACGATAGTGTGGAGGTGGTGGATCTGGTGATTTTGGTTTTCTGTGACTAAAAATATAATCCATGACCTTAAAATTCGGTAATCTGTGACTAAAAATATAATCCATGTCCAACTATTTTGTTATATGTGATTGTGAAAAAATTTGTGACCAACTAATTTGGAAATCTGTGAATGTGTGACCTATAAATTTTGATCTGTGACAAACTAATTTTAAAATCTGTGACCAACGAATTAATTGTGACCTAAAAATTTTTTGAACTGTGGCTGTAAATTAATCTGTGACGTATAAAAATTATTATTTGTGACTGAAAAATAATATGTGACTATCTAAATTGTGAATTTGTGACCATATTGTATAAATTACCAAAATCGGAGCAGTCGTCGGAATAAAGTTACGGCGGAACGGTCACCGGAATAGTCACCAGAATAATTGTTGGAATCGGAGCAGTCACTGGAGAAGAATGGTGGCCGGAACGGTCTCCGAAATAGTAACCGGAATGGTAGGGGTGGTGGAGGTGGGGTGAGTTAATTATATTATATTAAAATTAAATATTTAATAAATTTATTTAATAATTAATTAATAAAAATATTTTTAATTAATAAATAAATACCCGAGTTTTGCATTTTGAAACATGACACCTGAAAATTGAATTATGTTAAAATTAACACCTGACTTTTGAATTTTTCCCACATTAATATCTTAAGCTACTTCCAAAGGTCCTTGTTGTTTTCAGGTTGAACCTTTAGACTTGGCTATTGGTAATCAATTCACCATTAGTCGAAGCCTATGAAAATATAATCTGACATTTTATATTATTGCTTGGGATTTATTGTGTATCAAAATCCAACAAAGAGCTTTATCAACTATATATATAAGAAATAATCACCTTTAAAAGAATTTTCAGGTAAACGTATTATATCTTCATTGATATTCTCATAAAGTAATTCTTTCTATAAATAATATGTTTTTCATGAAATGTTGGTGGGACTTCTATTTGAGTAGCAATCTTGTCGATTCAAATTCAGTTTCTCTATATTTTTTTAAAAAAAGAAAATAAGTACTTTCAAGTGACTAATAGTAGCATCAATAGATAAGTCCTCACTTTGCAACATTTTGCTTAATTTTTTAATGACAAACAATATATGTACCAAGTAATCATATCAAAGAAGAACTAAAATTTCGTGATGTCTGGAGGCAAACTTTTGTTTTCACAAGATATATTGTTCTTGGGACAGAGAAGCCAATAAAAACTCGGCTACATTTAGGGGTGGCCTCCTCCCAAGAACAACTAGACTTGTGTTTTAAAATGTATTTTTTAGATCACAAAATCTTATTACTTTATCACTTAAGTATCACACATTTCACATTATCTAGAAAAAAAAAATTCCTCGTTTTATAGAAGATGAAAAATAATATATGCATTGCACAATTTTAAAAAAATATTTAGCCTTTATACAAGAATTTATCGTATCCCGAAGTGCAAGATTTGGATCATGATAACCACAGTGTGTAAAATGCCATTTTATTTACTTATAGTACTCTTTTTCTATAAATATTCATGCTTCCATTTCATACTAGAAGAAATATAGATGTAACAATTAAAAACTCTGACTAATTTTGTACTTTCATACACAAAATGAAAAACAAGAAGAAATTGAAAAATATAAAAAATAAAAATATAATAAAGGACAACGCAATCAAAAAAATAAAAATAAAAAATCTTACATACCAGTATTGCTGTCAAAGACTATAAATATAAGCTAAAGAATTTGCTGAGCGTTGAATTTAGGATGAAAACTATGAATGACTGAACAAACAGAGAGAATAAAATAAAAGATGTAATGTATTTTAACAAATAAAAGAATGGTGAAGAGAAAAAAAGTGAGAAAACATAGTCTAACCTAAAAATGAGGGGAAAAAACAAAAAATAAAATGAAAAGTCAATAATGTATTGAATTTTTTTTTTTTTTCGAAAAATTTGTTTTATACATATAATAATAATAAAAAACTGGGGCCCTTGCTAAGACGGGATCTTAGACAATCACCTGCCATGTCTATAGTTAGAATCGACATTGATGAGACCATTGAGCAAAG